GCCAATCCTTTAGAATCTATCCTCTAAAGGTTTATTACCACAAGAAAGAAAAGCAGGAGAGTAAGGTTGCTAAAGAATCATACATTACATGTATCGAATCTCCCAGTTCTCGACGCAGGCTCTAGCAGAGATGTTACAGCTGCTGGCTTAAGAGTCCCTGTTGCACATCCTAGGATCAGGATGGGTCCACAGTTCTTTCCGGCTCTTCGATCCCTGCACTGCTGACTCTGGGATGAAGTGCTGAGCTGAAGACCAAGATGGAGTCCACCACATGGCCTATTTATCCCTCCTTCCTGGTTTCTTCTTGGCTACAGCAGGTCACCTGGCCCATGGCCTATTCCTGTGTTCCCTGCTGCTAGCCCTTAGGTATGAGCCACCACTCGTTCTTTAGGTGTGTCCTTGGCCCACTGAGTGCCATTGTCCCACAGGGCCTCACTGATTAGCATGTCCATAGGCCGGGCTCTGCCCAATGCTCAACCACATGCAGGGAAATAGTCAATATCCACACAGATTACAGATTCCTAACTACACACGCAGACATTATACAATCACATGACTAGCGTACATAGGATTAGCAGACAGCGAGCTTCTATTCAACACCCCACATGGCCCCTTTTATGCCATTTTTGGGGCCAACACCCTCACCTATGGGTGCAGCAGTGATCTGGCTGCTTCCCTCAAATTCAGTAACGTGACAGTAATGCCCTTTTTTTTTTAAGGCTCCAGAGATGGCCCTGGCAATGACAGGCCAGTAAGTCTAACATCATAACATCAGTACCTGGAAAATTGGCTGAGATGTTAGTGCAGAATTATTAGATACATAGGTGAACACAGTATGCGGGGCGGAGAGTCAACATGGCTTTTGTAAAGGGAAATCATGCCTCACCAATCCATTAGCATTCTTTGAAAGGGTCAACAAGCATGTGGACCAGAGTGACTCAGTTGATATATTGTGCTTGAATCTTCAGAAAGTTTTTGGTAAGGTTCCTCACCAAAGGCTCTTAAGAAGAATAAGAGGGATAAGAGGAAAGGTCCCCTCGTGGGTCATTAACTGATTCAAAGATAGGAAACAAATGGTAGGAATAAATGGTCAGTTTTCAAAGTAAAATGTAGGGAGGGGGGCAAGTAACTGTACCAGGACCAGTGATGTTCAATGTATTAACAAATGATCTGGGAAAAAATGGGTAAACAGTGAGATGAGGATGTTTACAGATGATATAAAACAGGGCTACTCAACTTTGGGGGCCACAATGATACTCACAGCACGTGCCAAGGGCTGCAACTTAAGTGCAGTTGCATGTATATGAAAATATATATGCAAATATATGCCAATAGCTTCTTTCACACGATGCCTCAGTGCTCCCAGCACCACCTCGCTGGGGGCTTGAAAAGCTGACACCCCGTACCCGTCTGTTCCAGCCAGCCCGTCTGCTTGTGTCTGTCAATGCTCACCCCGCCTGGGAGACGCCTCGCCGTTGTGGAGGCCACGTTCAAAGTATCCCACTCGCGGGCCGCGTGTTGAGCCCCACGTAATCCCAAACCGCACCGCAGGCCACATGTTGAGTAGCCCAGATATAAAAAGATATATTAGAACTGGAAAAAGAATGGAGAATGAAAACACAAATGCCTAGGGGCATGGAACGGCTGCAATATGGAGGGAGATTTAAAACCGGGGACTGTTCATCTTAGGAAAGAGATGATTCGGGGAGAATATGATAGAGGTCAGTGCAATCATAAATGGTGTAGAGAAAGTGGATAGGAAGTGTTCTTTACTCCTTTGCATAACCCAAGAACCACAAAATTAATAAGCAGCCAGTTTAAAACAGAAAAAAAGGAAGTACTTCTTCACACAATGCACAGTCCACCTGTGGAACTCCTTGCCAGGGGATGTTGTGAAGGCCAAAATGTATAACTGTGCTCAAAAAAGGTTTAGATACATTGATGGAGGACAGGTCCATCAATGGCTATTAACCAGGATGGTCAGGGATGGGTGTCTCTAAGCCTCTGACTGCCAGAAGCTGGGACTGGATGATGGTCCGCTCGGTAATTGTTCCGTTCATTCCCTCTGGGGCACCTGGCAGTGGCTGCTGTCGGCAGATAGGACACTGGGCTAGATGGACCTTTGGTTTGACCCAGTGTGGCTATTCTCATGTTCTTAGTTACTCATTGTAGATAGTTTAGGATGTAAGTCAGCGAGCATGTCAGCCAGTGGCCCTAGTTATATGCAAGTGCAGCAAGTTATGTAGTGGTGACCTCTCTCTCTGTGTGTTCTCTGTCCCGCGCAGGTCCCGGTACGTGGAGTTTCAGTTTAACTGCCAGCCTTCCCCGCAGTCTGCGACTGGCTGCAGGAGGGAGAACTACGCGGCCTGTCTCTTGGCGTACACGGGAATCATAGGTATGAGGCTATGCCTGCCGGTATTGTGCGTCCTCTTCTCTCTCGCCTCCATGCTGGACCACTGCTCTCCGTAGAGTTTTCGAGAGCATGCTCCGTCTCTCTTCCTCTTGCATCCTCTCTGATAACCGAGGGTGCATCGACACGGCCGCACATCCCTGGAAATAGGCTGCGCAATTTGAGCTACGGAAATCGCATTGTGTATTTCAAAATAGCTTATTTCGAAATTTGGTGCTATCTTTGAAATAAATCAGTATTCCGGCATCTTCCTTCATCCTCATGCCACGCGGTTTCCAGGAAGCCAGAATAAGAAGCCCATTAAGGCGCACAAAATGGTGTTTCGGGATAACGGACGCTATCCCGAAATAGCGCCGCGGTGTAGACATCCCCTGAGAGTCTGCAATCAGAGCTCCTCCGAGAGTCCTGGAGCGGAGGAGGAGGCTGGATGAGCCAGATTAGAAACCCGCTTGGTCTCCCGTCACCACGCTGGCTCTGCAAGGCCGATGGGTAATGAATCACTTTGGTGGCTCAGCTGAAAAAAGCAAATCTGACTCAAAGGGATCCAGGAAACAGATCCCAGGCCTGCTCTTAATTGACGAAAAGGTGTCGGTCCTTTTTCCTCGCTATGTGAGAGTCCCCTGCCCACGTTCCGTCCTGCGTACTTGGCGTTACTGTATTGGAAGATTGTGTTGTATGCTCCCAAAGAACCAGAGTGTGGCATTTCTAGCATTTCTCCATTAAAGGCTGTCCCCACGCCTCCTCGTTTGCAGACCCTGAGTGTCCATGGATTAGCAGCCCCAGGCCACCAGGCAGACCCCATCTGCCGATCAGCTCACGCCCACCGCTGGTGGAGCCAGGTGTAAACAACCTCCCCCCACACACCAATGGCTGCTGAGGGCTGCAGCGTGGGCCTGAGGCAGGCACTCCGCATGTGGGTCAGTCTGGAAAAGCCAAGCGGTTGCTGATGGGGCCCGGGAAGTGAGTGAGGGAGCTGGGAGGGGAAGGCTGGTTTGGGCAGATTGGGCACTGTTAGAGATTATGGAGCCAATCAGTCTTCATCCTCCCGTACCCAACCCTTGGGGCCTTCTTGAGTGGTGGTGGGCGACCTGATGCCCGAGGGCCACAGGCAGCCTGTCGGGGTTCCAGGTGCGGCCCACGGGACGTTGTGTGGACCGTTGCCCACACACAGGGGCTGCCACGTTCTGCTGGTTATTACAAACGTGACACTCACGTAAAACGAGGACACATGACGTGAAGACGGCGCTCCCTCTGGTCCAATCAAGGAAGGCGCTGCTACGGTTCCATCCCCACCCCCTGCCAATTCTAGGGACGCGGCACAGTTTGCAACACGACCCTGTCCCAGGGGATCGTCTTGGTTACCACCATCTTGTGGCTACTGAGAGGAAGAAGGGCCACTCATGTGCCCTCTCACTAGCCTCGGTTGCCCATCGCTGTTCTGGAGCCGTGCTCTGTCCTTGACCGTGAGCCGGGCCTCTTTGTGTGAGCAATACTTTGCGGGCCTCTAGGGTCGCTTAGCACCTGTGGGCTACACGACCAGCAGACTGAAGACACAGGACATGTAGCCAACAGGGTGAAACATCGCTAGCTGAGTCCTGGGCCCTGGCTTGGTGTGCTGGGTCTGTGAACCGGGCTGAACTGGCCTGGAAACATGGCCAGGAAGGAAACAGGGCTCCCCACGGGGAAAGGGTCCTGGCAGATCCAAGGGCAGCAGCGTGGAAGCCACTGGACTATAGCTGGGTGGATGGAGGTTTGTTGGATGTGGTTTTGGTTCTCAGCGGGTTCCTCCTGTGACAGTGACCCGCCCTGTCCCTCTTGGCAGGCAGCCCCATCACGCCTAACTACATCGACAACTCGACCTCCAGCATAGCTCCTTGGTGCACCTGCAACACCAGCGGCAACCGGCAGGAGGAGTGCGAGAGCTTCCTGCGCCTCTTCACCGACAACCCCTGTCTCCGTAAGTAGCAGGCGGCTGCCAGGGCAAGTCCACTGCAGAGCCGGGGCGGGGAGGGGGTGCTCCTGGGCTCCTCTCGTCATGAGGCCGGAGAGGGTATGTGAGAGGAGATTTGGCCACCCCCATCGCAGACCCAGCTGTGCACCTGCCGGGTGGGACGTGGGGCGGTCAGCGTATTGCCTGTGCCTGCCCAGACCCAGATGTGCCCCCTGCAGGCTCAGAGTGCTGCACATGACAAGGCCAACCTTCGCCCCGGTGACCATAAGAACGGCCACTCTGGGTCAGACCAACGGTCCATCTAGCCCAGTGTCCCGTCTGCCCACAGTGGCCAATACCAGGTGCCCCAGAGGGAGGGATCACATCAGGTAATCCTCACGTGATCCCTCCCCTGTCTCCCATTTCCAGACAAACAGAGGTTAGGGGCACCATTCCTACCCATCCTGGCTAATAGCCATTGACGGACCTGTCCTCCATGAATCTGTCTAGCTCTTTCTTGAACCCTGTCCAAGTCCTAGACTTCACCATATCCTCTGGCAAGGAGTTCCACAGGTTGGCCGTGAGCTGAGTGAAGAAAAACTTCCTTTTGTTTGTTTTAAACCTACTGCCTATTCGTTTCATTTGGTGACCCCTAGTACTTATATTGTGGGAATAAGTAAATCACTTTTCCTTATTCACTTTTTCCACGTCACTCATGATTTTATAGACCGCTATTCTATCCCCCCTTAGTTTTCTCTTTTTAAGCTGAAAAGTCCCAGTCTTTTTAATCTCTCCATCTGTGCTGCCCAGACAAATTAAAGCTGCCCCATGGGTCGGATGAGCCCCCAGTGTCGTGTCACCTCTGGCACACCCATGCTGGACAAGCCGGAATTTGGCCCTATTAGTATTCCAGGAGCACTGTGAGGTCCCAGCTTTGCATGCTAGTGAGAGACAGCCACGGCCCTACATAGACAAAGCCATCAAATGGCGGGCAGGGAACCAGGCACTGAGAGCTGAAGGGACTCCCCCAGGCCGCCCAGAGAGCCATTGTCAGCTCTCCTGACGCCCCATCTGGTGTTCAAGCCACTGGGCCATACTAGGTTACAAGTATCCGTCATCCCCAGCCAACGTGCCGCCAGCTGCACGGCAGTATGAAACGGAGGTCCCAGCCCGGGAAAGACCAAGGAGAAGGAGAAATCCGGGACTAGGCAGCCTGAGTTAGATAGGCTGGCTGGAAACGTCTGGAGAGCCCTGGAAAAGAGGACCAGCGCTCAGGAGGTCAGAAAATCCACCTGCGTCCTGAGGCGACTGCCGTGCTTGAGAAAACTCGATGAGGCGGGACCTTTGTGCCAAGAGACTCTGGCCGGAGAGGGCTGCGTGTTCCTCCGCTCTCAGCCAGGCTCCCCCTTCGATCCGAGCCTGCAGCGGAACCACAGCTCGGGCCCGCCCGGCCTGGTGCCAGCGCCGATAACAAACGCACCGCCCCAGCCTGCAGAAGGGCATCTCTTCAGGGCCCGCGAGGCGGCATCGTCTGGGCCGCGCAGCAGCAAAGCGCCGTCGGGCGGGGTGCAGAGGCCGTTTCCTCTGGCAGCACAAGGAGGGCAGGGTGCAGGGTGCTGCACGTTTGAGACGGAATCCCGTGCGGTGGGCGAGCGCCTGCAGCTGGCTGCCAAGCTGAGCGGGCCCCCACGTCTGACCCGCCAAGACGCTGTGAGGCCCAGCGGCTCATGTTGTCCATGGGGGATGATCAGGGCTGCTCCAAATGCATGATCCCCTGGGGCGGTTGTACATCCTCTGGCTTGCGGGCCAGCCTCCGTCTCTGCCCTGGCAGGACGTCTGGATTGTATGCCCCATCCGATAGCGCTCTTGGGTGAGCACACTAGGGCCCGATTCCCCTCTGCTCTGCCCCCTTGTGAGCCCACGTAGGCCCCGCCCCCAAAGCCATTTAGGACCTCACACCGGGCTGAACCCAACGGGAGTCAGGAGCCTCTGAGCATCAGGACGCTGTGTGCCCTCGGTTTCCGGGAGTGGGAGCGGTGGGTGGGGAATTTCCCGAATACCCTGCCATTGGCGACGCCTCCCAGAGATAAGCCAAGGGTGCTCCCTCCAACCCACGGCTCTGAGGGATGGACCACCCCAGCTCTTGGCTCCGTGGGGCACTGGAAAAGGCTTCCAAACATCCTCAGTCCCACAGAGTCAGGGGGACGATGCTTAGCATTTCTAAGGGGCAGGACAAACCTGACTCGATTCGGCCATTCAGCCCCCCCTTCCACCGGACGCCCTCTGAGGCTCAGAGTAGGGAGGAGGCGGGCCTGGGGCCGCGGAGGGGGCTGGGATCTGGCCTGTGCTCTGGTGTCTCCTGGCCTGTGGAAGGCGGAAGGGCTGGTCCCGGGTGGGGTGCGAGCAGCAGGGATGGCACCTGGGTCTCTGGATTTCAGCGTGTGACTCGTTATTGCCGGAGCTAAAAGATCCTCCCGTGGTCCTTGCAGCAACTTCTCCCTTCTGAGGCTGGAAGCTCCCTGCCAGGCCTCCTGCCCCTGCTGCTCGGCAGACAGGGTGGTGCTGTGCAGGGAGGCAGGGAGAGGCGATGGCTGGTCCAAGCCAGGCCTGGCTCAGGGAGGGAGACGCTAGTTTTGGGAGGGGGAGGGATGTTAACACTTCCCTGGAGAGTTTGGCTCTGATCGCTCTTCCCCCCCTCGTGCCCAGAAAACGCCATCCTGGCCTTCAGCAACGGGACCCACCTGAACGCAGCCCTGGCCCCGTCCGTGCCCCCGACGACGCAGATGTATAAGCAGGAGCGAAACGCCAACAGAGCTGCCGCCACCCTCAGAGGGAACATCTTTGAGCAGCTCCAGCCCACCAAGGTAGGGGAGGAGCGAGGAGCTCCCAGGGCCCCTGCCCCAAATCTCACCACAAATTCATACCCCTCCTTGGCTCCCTGGACCTCAGCTCCCTCCGCCTGCAGCCCTCTGTGTGCCGCGCCGGCCATTCGTCTGGTGCCGCCATCACCCAAAGGCCAAACCTCGCCCTTCCCCTTCAGGCGCCTCCCAAGGCCTGTCCTTTATAAGCTCTTTTAATAAACCCCATTCTAGCCATCAGGCCACGCTGTCCTCACTCCCGACTGGCCCTCCGCGAGTCACCGTCTCCGACTCTCCTCCTCTTGTTCTGGCACCGTCACCGGTAGGCGCCGGCGCCTCTGTGCTCTCACCAGAGTGTGACTGTCGACGTGCCCCCGCCACACAGAGCTTCACCCGCAAGGCAGCTCCACGCGCTGCTGCGCGCTCGCCTCCTGCCTTTGCCAGGGGTGGGCGGACGAATGTGGGGTTCACCCTCCACGTTGTCTCCATTCTCTGCAGGAAACCGGAAACGAGCTGCTCCTGAGGGGCTCCACCCAACTGGCATCCGAAACCTCCGGCTTGGCGTCGGCATCCCGCGCTGCGGGGGGGCTGCTGACATGGGTCTCCGTGGCTCTCGCCGCGCCCCTCCTGCTTGCGATGTGAAAGGGAGCAGGCACACTGCCAGCAGGGACTCCATGCGTGTCTGTTTCTTCTTCTTCTTCTTCTTCTTCTTTTTTTAAGGCAACTGTGGGGGGGAAGGGGCAGGACGCAGGCAGAAATTCCCCCCTCGCTCCTCCAGCCAACGGCTTTTGTTTTGTAAAAACGACGGCGTCTCAGCAGCTCGCGCCTGGTCCCCTGTCCGGCTCCTTGGCTCGGTTCTCTGGAGGCCTGTCACGTGTCAGGCGGGCGCAAGCACAAGAAATGCGATTCCAAGGCACTGAGCTCTCCTGAGGCAGCCAGGCAGGAACAGACTCCAGGTGCACGGACTGCTGGGAAGGTTTTGTGAAACTCTGGCCTACGGGAATTGGGGGTGGAGTGGGTCTCACAACAGGCCATGCAACTTTCTACCCCGCGACCCGAAGTGCGGCAGGACCAACAGAGCTCCCAGCGCTCAGACCATCAAGGAAGACGGAGGCGTCTGAGGGGCAGAGCAGAGCCAGGGCGTGCGATCCTGGAATTATCTAGTTTTTTGACATGTCTGACAACATTCTGTGGAGCTGGCGTTACCTCTTGGCCATGTCTTGACTGACCCGTGCGCCCTCTTGTAGAAAACCGTGTTCATGTGTTAATGGTCTTCAGGAAGAAACACGTGTCGCCTTATGATTTTTTTTGTTTTTGTTGGTTTTGGCAGTTCATGTTGGCATCCCCTTCTGAGCACCAAATGTTCTTATCGGGTCCTGTCCAGTGTAGGGGGTAGTTTTTGTGAGGTGAGAGTAGGATATTCTGTCCCACGCCACGCTAGTCTTTTTATAATCTCTGGCTACATGTAAGCCTCCAGGCAAGAACTGATGTTCATATAACTTGACGCATGCTCACATGGGACAGGCAAGCCGTCCGGAGTTAAAAATTGTGTCTACACTGTAATAGAATACCCGTAGCTGGCCCAGGTCAGCAGGGCCAAACTGTTGAGGTTATCAATTGCAGTGTAAATATGTGGATTCTGGCCAGGGCGAAACTGTTGAGGTTATCAATTGCAGTGTAAGAATGTGGACTCTACGACATCCGACATCTCAATTTTATAACTCCACGATTCCACATCCGCCGAGAAGGGCCAGCTGCAAGTATTTTACCTCAGTGTAGACATATCTGTTGTGCCACAAAGGATGTTCAGTGGTTTACTTGGTATCTCTCTAGCCACAGAAGTGAAAGATGGGTTGGAAAAGGGAGCACGGAGGGAGACCTAGAAGCCGACCACTCACTCACTCCACTGAACACTGAGGGATACTCAGAAACAGCCTCTGTATGAACAGATCCAGGCACTAACTGCAGCAGGGCAGGGCTGACTCACCTTGTTAAATGGCTGGATAGCTAAACAGAATTGCCCTTGCTAACAGGCCCTCTCTGAGGTGAGAGAGGCCTAGGCCGCTTCCAGCTTTTGAGGCCCCTAGTCATAATAACAATAATAAATGACAACACGTGGAAATGAAATAAAACACCAAAAAAAGTGAGATGTGAATTTTTTAAATGTAACAACTGTTTTTCTTATTGAGGAAAAAAAATCGAGTTTTCAACTCACAAGTGTCTAAATTTGAGCTTGAAGCCCAGGCCAACTGGCCATCTGACCCCCCCGCCCCCCACTCCTAATTTTTCGGCTTGGAGCTTTGCCGGCAAAAAGCGCCAGTCTAGACGGGGAGCTTTAAGAAAATAAAGCCTTTTCCGAAAGATCCCTTATTCCTCTAAAATCAGGAATAAGGGATAAGGGACCAAGGTCCATTGTCAGGAACCGGCTGCGGGTTAGATGAACCATGGGTCTTTGCCCACAGGGCCACCCCTAAAGCACAGGATTCTGTGGGTGATGAGCGAGCCCCTAAGTGCTGCTGAAATCAGTGCGCGCTGCGGGCCCATAGAGCAGCTGGTGAATTGGTCCCCTTGTGAAATGTTTGGCCTACACCAGCGAGGAGCCTTTCTTGAAGGCCCCCAGCAATTTGGGCCGCTGGGTTCCAGAGGCACAATTCTTGGGAGATGCATCTCCACCAGCAGCCATCTCCTGCCCGTGTGGGTTTCTAAGAGATTTTGACAGGGCCCAGCAGCGGATGGTACAGCTCACAAGCGCCACCCAACCGAGTACCGGAAGCCCACGGCCCAGGATAGGGAGTTTTTACATTGCCATCCTCTCCCAGTCCCCTCAGAAATTGTTTTCTTTGCTGGATTGCATCAGTTTTGAAGGAAAATTACAATGAAGGAGAAACACTCCCAGCCCCTCAGTCTAGCGTGAAACGTCCCCTTGCTACGTCCTTTGGAGCGGACCCTTCCCTGCATCACCAAAGCCCTGTTACGTCCCCCCAGGGCTGTTGACCAGTGCTGTGCACCTTGGCGTGGTACCACCCTGCTTGTACAGAGGTCCTGGCTGTCCCAGAGACCTTCCTGAAACTCAGTGCGTGTGGGCAGGGATCCCCGGTTTCAACGAAGCTGGAAGCAGACATCTCCTCAGCTCGAGGCCGTGCAGCCAGCTGGGAGGATGAGTGCCATCGAGAACAGCAAGCAGTGACCACAGTTTATAGCGAATTTTTCAGGTGTGTTTTAGTGCCACAACGAACAGTCGCGCTGTGCATGCACATCCTTGCATAGCGAGGCAGGGTTGGCCCATGAGCTTACCTGTGGACCAGGATGCTAGCTCATAAGCACACATCATGTGCCCGACCTTTAAACAAACAGGTGTGATGGCCATTTCCTGTTGGGTCTGGCTGCCGTGCCACCTGCTTGTGCTGAGCCATGTAATCCTGCGGTGTTGCCAGTTAGCCTGGTTGTTAAAATGATGCCTTCCTAAGAACTTACTCCGCTGTCCCGGTCACAGCGTTTGAAATGCTGCCAAAAAGTCATTTCAACTCTCCTTGAATGTCGGCACACCGTGAAAAAACGGTGTGGAGAATTTTAGTCATCACACGCTTGGCAGGGAGGACTTAGCTATCATTAAGCGGCCGGCGGCTTAGCTGGTATGAATTGGCTGAGGGCCTGCCCTTGTGTCTTGCTACTTAACGTCACGTTTTTGGAGAAGGGGCAGGAGCG